GTCTCCTTGAGGACACGGTCCCTCTGAGGTCCTCTCCCATGGGGTGTTTCTTCTACCACAGACCTTGTGTCCCTGGGCCTGGAGATAGGTGGGCACCTTCTCCTCATGACTCCCTACAGACCTCCCCTCCCTCTTACTGAACATCTGCTAACCTCTTATCAGATTAGAGCCCCAACTCTGCTCATTACCTTCCCCATAGACCCCCAGACCATTCCCCTCATCCCTCCACTCTTATAGCTGCTGGCTCACTGTCACGATCTCCAGCGATTTTAGCTCCTTGTTCCTGGGTGCTTTCAACATGAGATGTGTAGGCTGGAAAGTGGTCCCTGACGTTGTCCATGGAAGAATCCTTGGAATCTGTGATAATTTCTGTCTCTGCAACTCTGGGCTTGGCAGGTTAGGAGGTCTCAGTTCTCCAAAGAGGGACACTCTTACAAGAGGACATGACAAAGATCCCATCAAACTATACATTATGGTTGCCACCAGGGAAGTTTGGACTCCATGTGCCCAGAGACCAGCAGGTGAAAAGAGGAATCCTCCCTTCTCCAGAGAGGAGCAACTGACTCTGATCCATAGGATGGGGTGGAGTTGCTGTTAGATAATTGGTGCAGGAGAACCATGTGGGGAACCTGGATGAGTGACCTGGGTGCCTCCAGGTTCTCCCTTGTCCTATTGAAACTATGAACAGCTATGTGCAGCAACCCAGCCTGAGAAGGACTTGATTTCTAAGGGTCCAGATCCCTCAGGTAGGAGGGTTTAGGACACATTCCCCATGTGAAGCACAAGAGCCCTGCTCCTGTGTTCTGGAATCCATGGCAGTATCTGTGCAGAGACCCTGCTTCCCATAGGCTCTTCCCAGACAACAACCCGTCACAGCAAGGACCCTAAGGCAGGCTCATTTCCTGGAGACATAGGACTCCTGTGATGGCCAACTGTGGCTCAAGGACTCTTCCATGGCCTTGCTCAACCTCACTGCGATTGCCTGGTGGTCTAGGATAGTCCAAGGAACCTTCTCTCCTGTCCATCACCAGGGGTGAGACTTGCATCTCAGCTGCTGACTCTTCCAGCATTTTCCATCTCCCTCCTCATATTCTCTGACAAGCATTTCCTCTAATAAAACACTGGTGCGTTTAATCTTATCTTGGCAACTGCTTCTTGGAGGACAATGGACTAACAAAATCATTTTTATTTGTATCCCAGTGACCTATTACTCATTCCATCTTGTAAAATCCTTCTCTTTATCCCACTTCTCCCATCAGCATCTGCTTCATTTTGCTTATCTTTCTGATATCTCTTTGAGCTAATGGTATTTGTTAATTTGAGACACTAAGTTTTAGGGTAATTTTTGATACAATAAAGCTAAGTAATAAATCTCTCGAGTTTTTATTATTTTGTAAGTATCATCTAAATCTGTTTTATTTCCTTGCATTTTAAAAATTTTATCTATACTCACTATGTCCAATTCTTCCCCTCTTGTTCTTTCTTTTATTTCTTTTGTCTTTTCTCTTTCTATCTTCCCTTGCTCTTTGGCCTCCTCCTTCCTTCCTTCCTTCCTTTTTATTACGATGTTTCCAAACATATAAAACAATACTATATGGTTATACTGAAGGGAAGAATTCTCTGAACTTACATGCTGAAAGTATAATGCCAGGCTATATGGAATAAAAGCAAAGAAAATGAAGTTATTGGTAAAGTCAGGAAAATATGCCTGGGTGATTCTATGACCCAGAAAGTGACTTTCAACTCTTATTTCCTTCCCTTAAGCTGAAACAACTCCCTCTCGAACAACCACAGAAGCAACACACTTACACATCCTTAGTAAAAGTTTAAATTGATGTAAGCACTTTGGAAATCAAATTAGCATTCTTTAGAATGGTTACAGTACATACAGGCATATAATCCAACAATCCTGTTCCTGATCAACAACCCTGAGGAATTTCTTGCCTATGTGTCCTAGCAGACATGTACACTAATGTTTATGGCAAAAACTGGAGGAAAAAACCACATACATCAAAAGGAAAATAGCAAAATTGTGCTTTAATCATAAGACGTAAAACTTTACAGCAGTAAAACTGAGTGAACCATGTCTCAGACATCAGGGATAACTCACCCACACAGAACATTGAGTCGCAGAACAATACATGCAGTAAGTGTTCACTGAACAGGAAGGTTAAAAACGGGCAACACGAAATGATATTTGGTTTGGGGATATATACACTTACTGTAAAATCTTTAGAGAAACCCAAAGGTATAGTTAACACAACTCTCAGGATAGAGGTTACATCCAGTGGATGGGATTGGGGAGTGGCCCACGGTGGCTTCACACCTTCTGTTTCTCAGCTCAGTGGTGGGTTCCTAGATATTTGCTGTATCAGGACTCCTTAAACTGGCATTGTTGAAACTGGAGTTTGTGAACCATTCCAGGTTAATTTTTTTTTCTTTTTAAGGAGAGAGAAAACTACATACCAAAGTTTATTTCAAGGATCCTTACTAAGAACTACTCACACTGGAACAAAGCCATAGCCAATCGTTATGAACCACATTAGAGAGAGGACCCAGGATGCCATAAAAATATCTTTTTCTAGTAAGTAGGTCATTTCATCTTTTGCTCATTGGCATCTCGATTGTTTTTCTGGTGCACAATGTTCAATCTGGTATGAAAAGCAATTCTATCTCATGAAGGATTTGTTGTGTCACTTACATTAACCTCACATTCAGCTACATTAAGTACATATGCAGAATGGAAAAGTACATTGTTGCTCAGTATAAATTAAACTGGAAAAATATAAAGGAATAGCCAATGATGAAAGAAAAAATATGAATGAAAAATACAGCTAGACAGAGCTGCACAAAAAAGTTTTGAATCACATTAGCAGATTACTGGCCCCAGTGGGGAGAATGGTGGGGGTAGGTGAGGGAGTGGCACTACTGCCACAATTCAGGAAAGAGAGGGTGGTGGGGACTAAGGGGAGAAGAGGACCTGAGGGAGGAGAGAGACAGAGAGAAGGGCTGGAGAAGCAGGGGGTGAGGAAAAGAAGCAGAGGTTAAAAAGTTCTAAAGCAGTGACTTTCTCAGATATAAATATGTTGTTATCTTGATTTCTCTGCAACTAGTATTACCACATCCAGTGGGGCTGCCTAAAAACCATTTGCCTCCTTATGTTAATCAAGGTAATGAAACTGATACCAAGTGCCCAGTAAAATATGCATGCTCCTTAGGTGTTAATCACAAACATAGGCAATGCATGTTGGTGAAGGGCATTTTGACTGTCTTGACCAGCAACTTGGAGGTGATTAAAGTTTGTACACTCTGGTTGAAATATAATGTATTCATGATATTTTCTTATTTTCTGTATACTTTTTAAAAATTTTTAGGTTATTTTCCCCATGCATATATTTAATTTTTTACTTGTTTCGGCTTTTTGTTTGGGGGTGGGGGAGGTTAATTAGGTTAATTTATTTATTTGGATGGAGGTCCTGGATATTGAACCTGGGCTTGTCTCTAGGTGTCTGGTACCTGGCCCTGGATAATTTGGGCAGAGGAATATTGTCTCCTGGGATGGGATGTAAGATCTGATAGAAGAGGTGGTTCCAAAAATGGGCTCTGGATTGTCTAATTTGCAAAAGAAAGACTGTTCCTGGGCAAGATCTTTGCCATCTCTAAGAACTGGTCAGCCTTGAGGGAAAGTCTCTCCCCAGTCATCCAGGCCACAAATGCTGGAGCATCAAGAACACAGAACATAGGAGAAGGGGAGGGATGGTATAACTCAGTGGGAGATCGCAGCTCTCCCAGAGTCAGCCAAGGATATTATTCAAGCCAGCCAATCCTAAGATGTTTCCCCAGTCCAGCTTTAGTTTTCTCATGGATGACAATAAAAGTTCTGAGCCGCGTTTTCTTCCTCTCCTCTGGCTCCTGATCAACCTTGGTGTTTCCCCTTGTGGCCTTGTGTGGGGTGCCATGCCCCTTCTTCTCAGGAGATGTGAAAACAAAACAAAACAAAACAAAACAACCTGCTTTCAATGGCAGTAGCTTCTCCCATCACCACTTAGTCACCTTTGTAAATTATAGCCCCAGGCACAGATCTTATACAGGAACAAATTCCATGTGCTTCTTGGTATTGCCTATGTGTCTGAGACTCCCACAGAAAAACTCAGGGCTATGGAATGAAGGGAATTTTAAAATATAAAAACCTGGAATCACTGGAATACCAAACCTGGAATTCCTGGTTTAGGAAAGTGAAATTATGAACTTTGGTTAATGCAGGAGTGTTTAGACACGTGTATATGGGAAAAGTAAATTCACTACTTTTACTGGTATGATTCCTGGTCATTCAGGGGTTATCCAGGGGTTAGTAAATAAACAGGAAACTGGTCTCTATACGAACCTCTACGTGATGCCTCAGGCACAACTGCCCAGGTTTAAAGAGGAAACTGTTGTTTGTTCACCAACTTTCCCCAAGGTCAGCTCACTC